AGCAACACACTGTATCTTAGATTGTACTCCACAGTTATGTGTATTTCAACATGAATCGTTTTAAAACAAAAGTGGTGTGTACAATGTTTCTAATTTTAACACCTAACAAGAAAAATGTACAATGGTATTGGTACAGACTCCACACGTGTAATAGGAGTGGTGTTTCTCTGCATTCAGTAGACACATATTCGAAATTCATTAAACACATTTGAAAAGTACAATTACTAAAATTTGGAGAGTTGTCAAAGAAAAATATGATTTGATTTGTCAAGCATGGAGATGAAATGTATTCACGAGTAGGGGTGTGTTTTGAGGAACTGCCGCAATACACCTAGCAGACATCTCTCTGGTCATAAACATAAAGACAAGTTGATATTCGTGTAGTAGTCATGCTACCGTCGAGTAATTCGGAAAATGTGTGCACAGGAAGTGTTTGTAGACTGGGACGTCTGGCTTTATATAGCAGTAATTTTAAAGGAGGCATATATTAATTAATGGAAGCGATCTCATGATCAAATGAATCTGACTGGCATTACTTGCGAGAGGATAGTTGATAGAGAGAGAGAGAAAGGGGTAGCATTTGTCATGAAATCCAAATACTGATGAATGTTTCTCAAGTATATTCCACATAAACCAAATTCAAGTCCCATCAAAGGTGATGGGACGAATTCGGAATAAGTACACACACACACATCGTAAATTGTGTGTACAGGAAACATTCCATTCCAAACGCCACTCTGTCTACATTGGATACTTGATTTAATTAATAAAGTATAACTGGCTAATAATATGACACTTTTTCTAATTTATGTAAATATTGAGGAAAATCATATTTAGAAAACAGAAAGATTGAGCGAAGAAATATTTACTTTTCAATTAGATCCTCATCTCACTCTGGCTCTACTCTAATATACACGTATAGCATTTTTATTACAATACACAACAGTTTACCAAACAAGTGGCGACATGTTTGTTAACAATAATTAGTCAGTGTCAAAATGTCAATGGGTTGATAAGTAACGAAGAAAATCAATACACATTTAAAAGG